AAGATGTCAACTGCATTTGTTTTACCTGCAGTCTACCTGTATTTACCTATTGATTTCTAAGTTTCGTAACACAGTAAAAGATGGTTTTGGGCAATAATTTATTGTACACTATACCACATGTACGTATTAATGTTCGTATAAGAACCATCCAGAAGGACTTGAGACAGACCCAACTTTTATTAGACCGTTTCCTGCATTGATTTAAGCCCGTCTATTCATCTGTCCGTCTTGTACTCTTGTATTTAAGAAGGAGCACTATTGAAAATTTTTCAGATCGGTCACTTTTGCAAACACTCCCCGTGTAAAGCCTTATTTTGAAAAATTGCCATATGAATAACTGTATTAAACGAAGTGATGTAGGGTGTTTAAGGGTGGTGGTGCCCGATTATAGTGTTTTTACTTTTTTCTAATCAACTTTTAATTGTCACATGGAAATCAACAAAGTTACGCGACTATGAAACCATAGGGGTAGGTGTAAACACCAGCACCTTTTCCTTGACCCACTGTCGTTATCAACAATTTACAACCTAATGCAAATAGTAACCTAGAACTTCGTACTAATATTAAAGAGGAACGTCGTTTTGAAGGTGACAATTCATTCTTTATAAGATTAAGCAGAAAATTTTACGATTGACTTTACATATGAAACCCACTTATTATTTGTTTCAAATGAAATTTTAATTAAAAAAAAAAAAAAGAATTCTTTACACTTACCCGGGACAACGTATTTAATTAAGAATTATTTTATAATGATTTTACAAAAGTTTTATTTATTATTAAAATTTTTTGTTTATCAATTTTTATATAATATATAATACAGTTTAATTACGATTAGCGATTAAACTTAAAGCTAAATAAAAGAATTTTATACAATAATCAAAAAAAAAAACAAAATAATTTTTCTAAATAATTTTTACAATAATAATTTAAGTAATTTACGTTGACATCCTAATTTTAAAAAATGAAAAAAAAAAATCAGAAAAAAAATTTAATAACAATAAAAATTTCAATTTTTTTTTCTTTTTTTTTTTTTTAAAATTTTTTAATATTTTTATACAAATAATCTCTTCTTTTTTTTTCTTTTTTTTTTTAACTTAATAATAATGATAACATTAAACACTAATTACTGAAGACAATGAACCTGTTTTTTAAAATCAAGATTTACTTTTTATTTAATAAAATTTATAAATAATTATTTTTAAAATTTTGTTGACAATAAATTCCAATTAAGTAACTTTATATAATATATTAATTTTTATTAAAAATAATAAATAATTAAATTTATATAAAGGAGAATAATGGCAAGTTATTGCAAAAACAATTGCCTTATCCTGCTTTATAACATCAGTTGATCCTACACTAAAAACCATAATGCATTCATAAAAAAAAAAAAAATCAAAGCTTGACTAAGCGTCAAGCGTCCGTCCATCAAAATAAAATGTGTACTAAAATGAATATAAATAGAAAGTAAATATACAGATGCGTTAATGCGTGTTTGCAAAGTGCACGCTTTGGAAAATCTCTAAAAGATTTACATCAGAAACGGAAAAAACAACACTAAAAAAAAAAATGAATAATTGCCGGAAAAATTAACATTTTCATGCTTAGAGTTAAAAATTGATGCTCCAAGCGAGAGGTAACTAACATGAACAGCTATAATACACATCTGTTCGTATAACACTTTTGATGCCTAAAATGTACAGAGTTCAAGTGTGGCATTGCAGATTAACGCTATTCGTCAGTGATGCCCAACTTTTGGTTTACTTTATGATTGGATTTTCTTTTTTTTTGAGGTAAGCAGCTGTTTGAAAAGCAAGCATTCCTCTTTTAAGCGATTCAATGCTAAAGAAAATTGAAATTGGAACTTATCTTAGGGTGTACGGTGGCCTAACTTTTCCATAAACAGCTGATTGTATTTTTTTTTCAATAAACAGCTGACTTAGCATTCATTACATCTTATCTGTTACATAGAGGCCTTATGCTTCTCTAAATAGCTTGTTGTCAGATCCAAAGCCCAGTGTGACTACGGTCGCGTAAAGTAATACTAAAGCAGTTGTAGATCCATAGGGGCCAGGGACCCACTCACTAAATGTCGCTTTATTTGAAGGGAATCTTGTAGGTGGAATATTAACTCCTGACTGATGGTTACCGTGGTGATTTCGAAACATCGCCAAATGAGAATAATTACAAGCGATGCTAGGCTTCGGCATTCCTCAACGTGGGTTTATTTGCCCAAGCACTTTAAATCAGCCTGGTACTCGAGGCGTAGTGGTGCCCCAGACTTATAGCGATTGTCTCACTCTCGGGCGCCACTTAAATAACTCGCCGTGTCAGCGGACATTGAGACGTTAAGCTCTAAGGCAAGTGCATGGGAGCCTAATATTTCTACGAACAGCTGATTGTTTTTTTTTTTCTTCAACAAACAACTGAGTGAAAAATAATACTTTCGAGCCCTAAACTATAGCTCAGCAATCATTATATATTACGTGCTGTATGGGCTGATTTAAAAAAGAAAAAAATGATTGCAGGCCGTAAACTTTAATATTTCGATGTCAATATTTTGAATAATACGCCTCTCAGTACACATAACGTTGAATAATTGAACATACATCAAGTATTGTATTTTATAGTCTAGATAAGTAAGATAAATGGAAAAAACAAACAAACAACTTTTACTTTCTTTGGATGCATTCATATAGCACGGTTTAAAATCACTTGAAAGATAAAGCAAAAAAAAAAAAAAAAAGGAAAAGATAATTAAATATTTATGGCTAAATATTAATATTTATTATAATATAATAATATACGAGTTTATTTAAAAAAAAAAAAAAAGATTTGCTTTGATTTGATTCCTTCAATTATTTGTCTTTATTTCTTTTCAAAAAAAAAAAAAAGAATACATTAACTGGCGTATAAGAAACATTCATGAAAAGAGGTCAAGGTCATTCGAAATCATTCTTCCCACTCAAAATAATCGCTTTTAAAAAGTTTTATTATTATTAAAAAGCACTAAACTACATTACCTTGCTTTTCTAAAAGCATTCATGCAAAATAATCGCATAACTGTTTTTTTTTTATTTCTTAATTGCTATCAAATAGTTAACGCGTCCGTTCATTTTATTGCATACTGACGTAATTAGAGGCTCGATCAGCCAATAGACTCTCGTAATGCGCTAATGCAACCATTAACCAACAACGTTTCGCTACGTGTAAGTTAATCAGCCGTTTTCTATATTAAAATTTAAATAATTTCTTAATCTTGTCCTTCATTTTATATTCTTATGTTATGCGTAAGACAAGAGTTTAGCAAAATTACCTCATAACGGAGAATATGTGGAAGGTTATGATGAACTTTATAAACCCAATTTTCATGTATTGTTGAAAATATTGTTTACATTAATAAAATTTATTTTTGATTATTTTTCTTTACTCTACACTACGTGTGCTAGAAGAGTATATTAAGGAGGTGCGGATGTATACAACACCAAGAAGATTTTGAGATAAACACAGCTTTTATTAAACCGATTAATTCAGAAACATTTTTTTGCATCGATCTTCGCTTGTCTGTCCGTCTGTCTTGTTGTTTGCTTTCTGATATTTAACCTACAGGTCATAATTCTTCTGAAATTTTAATGAAGTTTTGTACACCAACGAATCGATCTAAAGCCGTCTGTCCGTCTGTCCCACAAGTCGCAATTCTTCAGATATTTTGATAAAGTTTGGTAACGTATCGATCTAGGACCGTCTGTCCGTCTGTCCATCTTAGTTTCGTGGGCTCAATCTGTAGGTGCGTACCTATTCAGATAATTTGTTGTAACTTGGTACACCAACGTATCGATCTAGGACTGTCTGTCCATCTTCTTTTCTTGTGTTCAATCTGTAGGTCGTAGTTGCTCAGACTTTGTGATGAGCTTTGATAAACCGACACATTTAGGCCTAAGGAAGAACGCTATTGAAAATGGTTAGGATGCGACCACCTTTTCGATCAAGGCCTGTACATCGCATTATTTTGAAAAATCCTTATATGAATAATTGTATTAGGCAAAGTAGCGTAGGTTATTTAATAATGTACACTGTTGCACTATCGTGTCTTTGCGTCCATTGCGAACTACCTAAAAAAAAATAAATAAATAATAGCACGTTTTAACATGTTAAGCCGATATGTATTTGACTAATCCAACTCTTCGCCCTGAATTGGCAATAAACGGCAGTGATTGATTATCTTTGACATTTGTCAAATGTTTTTAAGAAGATTAGAAATATGTAAGAAGAATATTGAAAATATTTAATCCTATTGTGTGTCTTTCTTTCAGAACACTCGTAAGTAACTTTTCATTTAAAAGCATCTTTTCATAATATTTCGCTGTTTATTTACCAACAAATCATTAAAAAACTACATTAACTTAAGTTTTATTTTCTTAACAAAAAAAAAAAAAAAATTTATGTGGACCATTAGCTAAAATATTTCTTATCCATGAAAGCAAAAAGGCACTGAATTTCCTCTTTTTACTCGTTGCTTGCTTAACAAAAATCAATTCAAGATGTATAATAACCTCAAGCTAATAAAAGGCACATAACCTCCAAAAGAAAAAAAAAAAAAAAAACGCAAATAGATCGTTAGCTTCTGATTTTTTATCGTTCATTGATATTAAAACAAAATAATTTTGATTGAATATAAATCAATTGAATTTAATTGGCTATCAATTGTTTAAATTTTATGATTTTCGTTTATTCTGTTTTTTGGTTTCTTTTTTTTTTTTTTTTTGTTTGTTTATTTCCCAACTCAAGGACAATGTCATAAAAACATACAAAATTCTAATAAAACTTATCCATTAATACCTGAGTGAAAGTAAATAAAAATTGAAGCAAAAAAAAAAAAAAAAAAAAAATTATATTTTCATAAAAAAAAAAAAAAAAAAATGTTGCTATATATAATTCTCTTTTTAAGTATAAAATCAATATAAATTCTAAGACCTGCGTTAAAATTCTTTATAGTTTTCAAATTTAATTTCAAATTTTTTTTTTCTTTTTTTTTTTTTTTTGAACAAAAAGTTAGCACTGCTATCTCGTTATCGTTTTCGATTCTCTCCATTCTATGCTTCGATTTGTAAGCACATTTTTATATAACATTTATGTTCCTAGAATATAAGTAACAACTTAATTTATTGTCTGAGGGGTAGAGCATTAAAGGGATTAACAGCCATCATTCATACCTGCATCTAGTCTATGCCAAATTATAGAAAAAAAAAATAAAAAAAAAAAAACAAAAAAAAAATACGAAAAAATATTAAGCTTTTGAACGTCATAATGCTTCTTCGTCAGCTTACCAAATTAGTTAACTGTTGCAACTGATTCAGTCATTTTTCGTATTCTGGAACTAAAACCTTTACTGCCATCTGGACCCAAAGGAGTGCGCACTAAGTTTTCGGCAGCTCGCTGCGCAAATGAACCGGATCTTGAACGTGGGGAACCCTCTAAGAAACTATTCGTTCTTGAACGCGGCTGATTATCATAGTCGTTACCGTGTTTGTAATTATTTAAGAAACTACCAGTACGCGAACGAGGAGAACCCTCATATTCGGAACCAAATGAATAACGTCTATCATAACCGGAATCAGTGGATATACGACGTCCATTAATATACTGTGCATTATCGTAAGCAGCCAATTTACTGCTAACATTATTGAAATTGTTGGAGTAACGACGTGGAAAGATATTATAACCCCCACCACCTCCTCCGACATTGCTATCCTCGTAAGGAGTACCGACATGGGTTTCAAGAGATGGTTTACGTTCGGAATTGAAATCATTGGACATGCGCCTCTGGTAGCCCGTACCACTGCCAAGATCGCTTGCATTAGAGAAAGTTCGTTCAAATTGGAAGGATCCATTTGAAAAGCGACGCTCTCCGCCCATCATGGATCCTTGGGAATTTTTACGATATAGCTCTTGTTGTGCCAAATCGGATATTCGTCGGTGATAAGGACAACCTTCTGAACAATTGGAATCTCTTCTTGGGACCGGCATACTCTCGCTACAATTCGATGTACGACGATTAAGTTCGGAGTATCCGTAATTACCTACTTCTTGAGCCTCATTGGACAGTCGACGTACCAAAGTATGTGCAGGGCCTACGTTAGAGTTACTGTTAATATTACTGCTGCCAATAGCGGTGGGTGGGTTGCCATGTACTACGTGAGAATCGACATTGTGAGTTGTTGACATTGTAGAAGCGTTGCTATAGCGTCTCGGCGAATAGGAGAAATAGTTCATATTAACACCTGGCGAAGAAGGAGTGTGAGGAGTGGATTCTTGCCCTCGAGCCTGTTGATAATGCTGATGGTGATGAGGTATATGATGTTCACTGCCAAAATTACTGCGTTGTAAAGCAGTATATTGCGACTGTGGATTCGGTTGATAAGAATAATGGTGAGCACCATGTTGTCCTTGCACCATGTCGTTGTAACTTTTCTGATGTATATCGGAATTATTTCGTTTCAATTTAAAACGCATATCTACTTCGTGAGGTATAACGCCACTAAAACTTCCGCCACGTGTTCGTTCGTAGTTGTGTTCGTTGAAATGACGATAATTCTCCACCATACGCACGACTGGTGCGGCCATTTGTATAACCGCCTTTTTGCCAGTTTTCTTTTTCGGAGCCACCATTTCGTATACTTTGAATGGACCTTGCATGTCACGTGCATCGCGAGCTGACGACGATTCCAAATACTCGACAAGAGCACATTCCTTTTGTTGCATTTCTGGATATTTATTCATAAATTGTCGAACGTCCACTGGTATTGCCATGCCCGGTTTTAGAATGCGTATTAAGGCGATTTCACCGCATTTGGAAAATATATCAGATACCTTTTCTATAGTTAGCTTATCCAGTGGTAGATCACAGGCTACGATCGTACGTGATGGCATTGTCTCATCGAAGTTAGGCAGTGCTTCCATTCGGCGAACTTTTGTTCCCAGATCGTTCAATTCGATTTTGCGTGATTTACGACGAACAGCATTGCCGACAACACGCCAATCCTTCGTCAGTTGACGTACTCTTTTAAAGCTCGATACTAATTTCAAACTTACAAAGCCTTCTTTATTACGGCGGACGTGTTTAAGTAAAAATGCATCCTTGAGAATGCTCTCGTTAGAGAAATAAAATTCTACAGCTTCGGCGATTTCAGCGGCCAATTCTTCATTGGGTATAAGTGAGGGATCCAAAGTGTCAACTTCGTTGATGGCAGCCTTGTCACTGGCATTAGTCGATTGCGAAACCACCGAATGATCTTGTTCTACGATTGTTTCTGATGTGTCGTTTCTCTTCATATTCAAGAATGAACGATGAACACGTTTTTGGTCGGTCGGTGAATTGGCAGGCGCCACTGCAGGCGGTGGTGATGTCTCTGCCACTTCTTTACTTAAGCCTAGGTATTCGTATTTAAAGTTAGGATGCAAATAAATGTTATCCATTTGCGGATGATGATGTTTGTGAAACTTTTCCAAGTTCTCTTCACTCAATTCAGCACTGGGCAAATTTGCCGATGACTCTTGGCTAGTCGATGGTCTCACCTCAAGAACATGATTATCTACAGCTAAAGGTTTTAGTTCATCATCTTCCTCCGACTCATCGGAGCATTCAATAGACGAACCCATACCAACATCGAGTTTTTCATCAGAGTTATCGATGGGCAAATCCTCAGCTAATGAGGGAGAAGTAGTTGGAGCACTACACGTAGCTATATCATAAGTATCGGAATTAAAGTCGTCACCACTGCTTTGTTCGGCGGTAATGCTCTCATTACTACCGAATTGTGAATCCAATGACTGACATTGCGCTGCCATTTGTTGTTCACGCAAAGCCTGAGCGGAACGTTTAGCGTGTAAACGTAACAATTTGGAAGGCAGTGAAGATGATAGGGGCACAATAGCCTTTGAGGTGTGCTCGGGAGAATTACTGCAACTAGGCAAGTCTTCTTGATAGGCATTAGGGATTGTTGAGGTTTTGTGTTCTTCTTTTTTGTTAGGTTTCAAGACAGGCACAGCAATAAGTTGTTCAGGTTTTTTAATCTCCTCAGTGACTTCGGTGGTAGTAACGGTTTCGGTGCGAACGGTGGTCACGACCAATGTATGGCCATCTCGATGTTCGACAGCAGAGCTATCCTTGCTCGCATTTTCAGCTAAGCTGAGTTCTATAATTTCATCCGGTTTCGGCATATTTCCTTTCTGACTCATCTTATTATATAAGATTTCTTTCTTACTTTGAATTAATTTTTTGAAATATTTCTCAGCTAATTTGATGGCTAACGTCTCCGAAATAAAATGGTTTTCTTTTGTTTAGTTTTTTCTTTTAAATCCAATTTTGTGCAAATTTCATTTAAAACCATGCACTCCAACAAAAAGCTGCAATAATAATGTTAAGCGATCGGTTAAGCGATTATTTCCACACAGCAACTTGCGAAACGGGAAATTTCCGTTGCTAACTAACTGAAGAGATGATGAATGCTACGCGATTAGAGTCGCACACTGCACCGCAAAATACCGTTTACACACAGCTGTTACAAATTACTTTCACTTTCAAGTTCGCGTCTAATTTATAAAAAGAAAGAAAAAAAAAAAAAAAATAGAAAAAACGTGCTCTTGTTTTTCTTTTTTTTTTTTTCTTTTTTGCTTTCCTTGCTTTTAATATAAACTTATCCAAATGGAAATTTTAATTCTTTTAATCTTTACCAACAGCTCATATGTTCGTGGCGATCATTGAACGTTCATCATCATCATCATCATCATCATCATCAAGTGTATGGTTAGTTAGTTCGATGTTATTATTGATATTATGTGTTTTATGTGAATTTGTTTGTGTTTATGTGTGTATTTTAGTGCGTTGTTTTTATATTATTTCGCCTTTGATTATTAAGTAATCGATACACCACCACAAGTCGTTAACTTGACGTGTTTAAAATTGCAACTGGTTTTTTTTTTTTTTTTTAATACCATCTACATACATATGTGGCTCTATGTTGCGTTTCAATTCCATTTGAGGTTTCTGGGGCTGTCTATGCTACGTTCACACGCACCCATTTGTCACCCGATTAGATAACACTACGCGCTCTGGTCTCACGCACCAAACATATCATACCCAATATATATGTACATATATATATATATATATATTATATATACATGTTTATTTATTTGTTTAATTCTTGCATGTATTTTACGTTATCCAACACGCTAAGCACGTATATGTTCATTGCACCACCAAAAACCAACAATTGTCTTCAATGGACATCATATGTGATTTCCGTTTCTTGTTTTTTATTTATTTTTTTTTTTTTTTAAGTTGAATACACACAGCTTTAATTACGAAACGATTCAAGTTCAAGTTACAAAATGTTTTTTTTTTTTTTTGTTTTTTATTTTAAAATTATTTCGTTATGTTTAACATTATTTTATTTTTCTTTTTATTTTTTGTCACTTTAAGAGAAACACTTGGGTGTTCGTTGTAATAGAAGAAGAAAGAAAATAAAATAAAGGTGTTTGGAAAAGCACAACCGTTTGGCTTTTTAATATATTATTGAAGAGAGTTCATGCAACACTGCAATACGGAGATAGACTGAAATTGCAAATTGATTTGAGGTCGGTTAAATACCCTCTGCTTTCGTTATTCACTTTTTGCTTATGTTTTACATTATTATTATTGTTGTTATTATTATTATTATTGTTATTGTTGCTTGTTTTCCTTAACATATACGTTAAACGCATTTGACACTCTCTGTCGGTTTCCTTCGTGTTATTATATTGTATTTGCGTACGTTATACACACATATATACTTGCGATATTTGTATTGGTGACGTTTAGTTTTGTCGGTTTTATTAGGCGGTTTTTTCATTTTTTTTTTTTTTGCTTGTTTTTGTTTTTGTGTGCGTGAACAACTGCTAACATTGTTTTCGTTAGTATTTTCGATATTTTTTTGAATTGAAATGAAATAAAAAAAAAAAAATGCTCTATATTTGCTTCTTCTTCTTATTTTTTTTTGAATTTTTTTTTTTTCGTTTTTAATAGAAATGAGCAGACATTTACTTTTGCTCTCTTAGTTTGTTTGTTGTTTTTATTTAAAATGCTCATTAACGTTCAATGGTTGTTTTGCTTCCGTTTGCTTCCGAGCACATTGTAATCGTACATATGATTTATTTTATTGTTGTCATTAACAACAGTTAATGTTTCGAGTTGTTTAAACTATACTATCACGTGTTACTCGCATATATATTTAATTATTGATGAAAATCATGTTATAGGCGCTTAATTAAAGGATCATCTCATCTCATCATCCTTTTTCTTATCCTCTTTCGCTTTCTTCAATCAAGTGTATATACACATATATATATATATATATGTATGTGTATGTATGCGTTTATATATTTGCCTGTAATTGTCATAAGCAAAATAACAGTGGTAATCTTTCTCTCTCTCTCTCTCTCTCTCTCCATACATTAACGGAAATAATTTAACCTTGCTTGCTGATGTTAGAAAATTAATATTACAGACTTTACTAATTTACTTATGCATATATGTATATATAGAGAGAGAAATGTTTAACATCCATATATGCATGCATATGCAAGCGTGTAGCGTAAGATCATTAAAACTTTCAACTAAATGCTTTCTCTAAATGCTCTAAGTAATATATTTTAGAAAATAAATCACAAGGTGAGATATATTGTAAAATGTATTTTTATTTATTTTCTAAATAATTTTAAGCATTTTCTCACTTACCTTGATGATCAGTAAGATTTTTCTTCGTTAATTATGTGTGCTGTATGCTTGAATGTGAATCTTTGTGTAATAGAGACAAGCGTACATGTGCATTTGCGTATATTTACATTTCAAGGTTTATTTATTAAAATGATACGATATGATAGAGTTTTGATGATGATATATAATATTCATCTTTAATGTTAAGTAGAACTATTGATATACATATATATATAAATATATATTAAATATTTATTTAATATCAAAATGTATAATATAAAAAAGATATGCGGAAGAGATTGATTTTTTTTCCAAAAAAAAAAAATTAATTAATAAAACTATGTTTACTTTAAGATAAGCCTTGCGTAACAATCATGTCAAGCTTGTGCACACGTCTTTAATGGTTACAAGTGTATTGCGCATTTTTTCTTTTTTTTTTTTGCCCTATACTTTTACATGTCCTTGATACATATTCAATCATCGATATAATCAGTTTCTATCATAGAGGACTAATGGAAGTATGTGCACGTCTCTGTCGGCAATTCCGATTATCTTTTTAAAGTATGTAGAAATATTTTAATGTCCGCACGTGGGATGAAGTCTTAATCGGACGACAAATTGGCAAATTAATGAATGAATTGGGCATCCCTTTGGTTGGTGGGAAGACCTATTCAAACTATCCGAATGAAAGTTTGAATATAATCAAAACCTTCTCCTCCTTCTCCTCTTGCAAAGCTTACCAAGCGCCCTCGAATTTTTTAATGCCTCCCAAAGTGCCGAACCCAAGCGCTCGGATCTCTCACATCGATTGATCACTTCTGTTTTCTTCATTTAAGACAACAACAACAAACAACCATTCATCAATCTGAACTTCAACTCAACTTACGCATCTCAAAAATAAAGAAGTAAGTGAACTCTTTAATGGGCTGCCAGTTATCCAAGCCAATAGAAAGAAATATGATTTGACCAAAAAATTAGATAGACAAATTGATAGAAGAACGAAAGGGACGAACAAGTGTGCGGAAATGGCTTGAAAGCTCAGCGTAAAGAATGCATATATTCTGATCGGTTTTTCACTTGGAAAAGGCCTTTGCTGAGAAAAATTGGTACAATATATTTTCTATCGTTTTCCACACCCATGACACATTTTTGCGTTTCTTCAGCATTCCGAAATCGTGAGCCGCCAACCTAGCCCAGCTGTCTCAATCTGAACAAACGGTATTTAGAAGGCGTTTTGTTCAGTGAGTTCGCTGGGTGCCGCGAAAAATTTCCCATAAGAGCTGCAACAGTCTGCCCTTGACAAATGTCGCAACATGTGGCCGAACGCGGCGATAATTTCTTTTTATACAAATACTTGTCAGTGTTATCTCGATCTAAGAACGACGACCACTTCTTATCTTTGCAATATTTTCTGTGCGTAACTCAAATAAATCAGTGGAAATTTTGAAATAAGTCATCCGGTAACCATCAGACAATAGACTATACCAATAATTTTCATTTCTAACTACGTACGTACGTATCGATTTTACGTCGGTGAATCACTTAAAAATCTTTATGTAAGCATTAAGTAGGAAAAATGCAGTCGAAGGTCAACATAACCTCACTTAATGTGATCATCGGTTTTATGAGAATTTGCCAATTCTATAAAGAATTGAGTAAAAATTTTAGCGAAAGAAGTCTCTGTCGCTTATTACAGGTGGGTTTCAAAAGTCGCCAGCATATACGCACAACTAAACACATATCCTCATGCCGATAAAATATATGTATGAATATGAATATCTGGTTGCATTGTATATTAAGGATGATGTTGACCTTGCTGTCATTATACACGTTGAACCTGTTGTTATTGTTGTTAAAAAAAAAAAAAAAAAAGAAAAGATGAATGCTTCCCAATTTAAAGATTCTTATGTATTGTTGCATAATGAACTGAGCCGCGCTTCACACATACGTGATGTTCTCATGACCCATATATAATTATATACAAAACATGAACACTAAAATGTTGTAAATTTCGTTGTATACGTGAGCTTCAGTTTAGTTTTTGATTTTTTTTTCTTTTTCCTTTTTTTTTTGATTCGATGCTTTCTTACGATAAAAACGTTTTTAATTAGGTGTCTTGTGTTCAAGTCTAGAATATATGCTGAGAATATCTGGTCTGTTCAAAGTATATAAAAACAAGTCAATGTCACAATTATTGAATACAAGGATTTTTACAAAAAAAAACAAAAAAAAAAAAATTTAGGCAAGCATATATATACATATATATATATATATATATATTTAATAAAAGTTGCCCTTAATTGTTGATTTCTAGATATCTTGAGTTAAACAAAAGAGAAAGTCATTGTTGAACTCTTTTTTTTTTGTTTTGTTAAGATTTCCATTCCTCTTAAAATAAGCACTGTTAGCAAGCGATTTTGTATTGTTAAAGCGACAAATTATGATCTGATCAATTTTAATGACCTTGCATTTCGAACGCAAATAAATAGATTGTTGCCCTGATGTGTTTTTGATGAGAAGTAATGTATGAAAAATGTTATGTTAAACGAAAAGAAACACCTTAAACACCTAAGCTAATGTCACAAACATTATTATTACAAAGTTTTGCGATTATGCACTGAAGCAAATAATCGTAAATATATGACATATATACATATGCAAAGAATGAGAATATGTTTGGTCGTTATAATTATCATTGGTCGTCAGATTGAAAGGAAAAAAATATGTATATTCTTCTTCTTCTTCTTAAAGAGTCTCTGCTTTGATCTTAAAAAAAAAAAACGCCTTAAAATTCGTCGATAACGAGAGATTTTATCGTATATAATGAAGCATACTTTCTGCGACTGTCTACTGAAGTTACTTACAAACTTTACTGCCTACTACTTAGCGCGTTAGAAAAAATAAAAATACGGTCGGTCTTTATGTAAATCATTGTATAAAATGCATCTCGTGGCAATTCTCAATGCTCCTGCACTTTAGATCTAAAAATTTTATGAACTAGGCTTAGTGGTTCACATAGAATAAAAATAAAGTAGGGAAACTTTCCATAGAGGTGAGCCACTTTTTTTTCTATTATTTGTATTAGACGGTGACAAGGCTACATATACTTTATGGGCCGTCTGTGGCTTCTTTTTGGATACTGCAAAATAGAACTTCGAGGCGCCTCAACTTATCAATATCTACCATTACCGCTTTGTAGAAATTAGCCCTGCCTATAAGCGAACAATTGAAA